TGCCAACCTTCTGGGGTGTCACACCCCTGCCTCCTGGAACCCCAGGTGCTCCCTCACCCCTGCAGACACAGGCACTCATAGCTTAAAAGAGCAGGAAGGCAGCAGCAAGGGGGTCAGGATTAGTAATTCAAGAGACTCCAAGAACCTGGGTTTAGTCCCGGCCCCAGCTGCCCCGACCTCCTCATCTAAAAAAGGTGGGAGCCTTGGTGTTTTCCAGGGTCCAGCCCAGCTCTGCCATTCTGCCGCCTTGTTACTGCTGGGGAGGGCACACCAGCTCTGGGGGCCACTCTGTCGCAGCCCTGTGGGCCTTTGTCTTGTTCTGGAACTTATATATTGTGGACGGCCTCTGTCCCCATCCGGAAGTCAGCTCCAGTGAGCTGACTCACCTCTCTTGTTTCCTGCTGTAGAAGCAGGGCATGGAACAGTGTCTGGCACAGAGAAGTTGCTCAGCAAACAGTTGTTGAATCACTGCGGGAGCATGAGCCCCTTGATCGGCCCCTGGGCCAGGAGGAGCCCACGTGAAAACCCAAGGGCAGGGGAGATTTAGAGTATTTACCCATCACCCAGCAGGCCAAAGCTTTCCTGTGCCAGCCACTGGGCTCAGCCCAGGAAGTCAGAAGTTGAGCTTAATGGAGCCGCGTGCCTGCCCCAAGCTGGGCTCCGTCAAGAGGCAGATACTGGGCTGCAGACCGGCCTCCTGCATCTCTGAGGGAGACTGCTCCCGTGCGGTCTCAGCGACCTCCCACTCAGGGATGTCTTCAGCCCATTTTCCCCCTGACCCTGAGGTCTGTCCTTCACCTCCCATCAAGGTGGCCTGCGTGGCCCAGTCCCAGCAATACCTGCCTGAACATCTCCTCAGAGGAGCAGCGACAGCCCCACAGCCATAGAACGGGCTCAGGCTGAGGGTTCACGGGGGCCAGTGAGAGCATCATAGTCCCACTATCAGCCAGGGACCCTGCGTCACTCAGGCAGGAGGGCTGGGGGCAGGGACTGCTCAGCGTGTCCCAGGAAATCGGGGTCTGTGTCCATGATGGAGCGGGTGGGAAGTGGCTGGGGAAATGGAGTCATTCTCTGAGACTCTCGCTAGGTTGGCATAAGATCCAAGACACCAGCCAAATGGTGTCACTGGTCATCTGACACAGCTTGGGGACAGAGCCTTGGGAAAGTGGCCGGGGGAAGGAGGGCATGGGGGGTGGGAACACAAGGAGAGGTTGTCCATCTCAGCTGAGCAGCTACAGCCTGAGTCCAGTCCAAATTGTCGCTTCAAGTGCTCCTCCCCCAGATGTGGATCGTCTGGCCTCTCCCTCCCTGTGACCCCTGTCCCCTCCAGTCAGGGCAGGGAGCTCCATTTCCTCTTCCTCCTGGAGAGAGAACCCCAGGTCATGGTCATCGCTGTTGTTGTTACTGCTGGCCAGGCTCTGTCCTGCAGCATCTCCTGGGAGCCTATTGTCCACCACATGAGGAGGGCTGAGTTATTCCCATTTTAGAGACCGAAAAACCTGAGGGGGCGAACAGGTATGCAGCTGGAAGGCAGCAGAGCTGGGGTGTGAGCCAGTGGGCCTGGGCCGAAGGAGGAGATCCACCCTCAGACTGAGTCCTTCCACTCCCTGGTCTGAAAGGCCTTAGAATCACTCACCCAGTACCAAAGCCAACTGGAAATAAAGAGCATCCTAGAAACAAATAAACCTTTGTGTTGGGTGGGGTCACTCCAGATCGCCTGGAGGAAGTGAGTCTGGAGCCAGGTTTATCTGGTTTCTGGCAGCCTTCCAGAAAGGGAAGGCTAGTTGTAGTTTCCCTGGGGAAGTCCGGACAGGCAGGAAGAGCAGGAGCCTGGCCCCCTCCACATTGGGAAAGTCCTCAAACAGGAAGGGCCTAGAACGGAGAACTGAGAATTGGCAGTAAGGGGTGATTTCAGGGAGTGGAAGAAGGAATTAGAAAAAACAAACAAACAAACAAAAAACGCCCTGGCAAAAGGGAAGTGGCTGGATAGAAAGGCACGTGGGGATGAATTTTAATGTAATCAGAAAGCTGTCATAATGAAACGAGAGGAATATATTCAGACGTCAGGAGAGAGGCAGGAGCTGCGGTTCCAGGATCTAAACCAGGCTCGGTGCAGGACCGGCTTCTCTTCCTTTCCTAGTTCCTTCCTGGGAGGAGATGTTTGACCAGGAGCGTCAGGGATGAGCAGGGGGCAGGTTTTCACTTCTTTGTCTTCCTGGAAATCCCATTTAATTGGAGCCTTTAAAAGGGGCTGTGGGAGGGGGAGCACCTGGCCGACCTGGGGAGCAGAATTTCAAGGCTCTACTGAAGGCTTCCAAACTCGATTCACTTCATGTAAATGCTGCTGTGCTTCTGGGAGTTAAACATAAGCCCTTGGCCCTCTCGCCTCTGTCTCTGCCCTCTCCTTCTGCCTGGCTCTTCTCTCTGCTCTTTTTTTTTTTTTTTTTTTTGCCATACTCGGGCCTCTCACTGCTGTGGCCCCTCCTGCTGCACAGCACAGGCTCTGGATGCGCAGGCCCAGCGGCCACAGCTCACGGTCCCAGCCGCTCCGCGGCATGTGGGGTCCTCCCAGACCGGGGCACGAACCCGTATACCCTGCATCGGCAGGCGGACTCTCAACCACTGCGCCACCAGGGAAGCCCTCTCTCTTCTCTTTGTTTCTAGTTCTTTTTCCTCTGTCTCCGCCATTTCCCCTCCCTTTCTGCTTCGAACCCTATCTCCTCCTGTCCCTCCTCAGGAGGAAGTTTCACCCCTTCCACTCCCTCTGTCTTCCTTCCGCTTGCTCTCCCAGTCTCTGCTTCCCCCCGCCCAGAGCTTGGAGTTGGGGATGCCTGGAGATGGGGCAGGGTCGTGCCCAGCCCTGCCAGCGCCTGAGCCGTCAGGCGGAGCGCCCAGGCTAGGGCAGGCTCCGGGCCCAGAGCTTTGGCTGAAGCCCACCCATGTTGGAGGTCCAGGCTGGGATGCCCTGACGCAACATTGGTCACAGGAACTGACAATGATACCCCGTGGGCATGGAAGGGGCACCTCATCGCTGAGAGCTTGCCCAGTGCTGAGTGCTCCAGGCTGGGGGTACCGGCAGGGCGGTGGCCAGGCCTTCCTGAAGAGGACTCTGCAGTGGCTTGTGAAGCAGGGCAGGGCCTGGAGGTTTCCTCCGCTTCGCTCCAGACCTCTGGTCAGCCCCTCGTCTCTATGTGAACTCTCCTGGCCGTGTGAGTGACGGGGGTGCTCTGGTGCAGGAGGTACCAACCACCCTGAATCCAGGAGGACATGGTCCTGGAGTGCCCTTGCATTCTGTGGAAACCGTGAACACATGGCCATTTGCAATTTTGGGGTGGGTATTTCTGCAGTCTTGGCTGTGTGTGTCAGTTATTGAAGAGTCAACAAGCCTCTAGAGGGTGTCTGCCACCACGGGGACCCTGTTCCAGCAGCTACGGCTGCCTAACAACTTAACCCCAAATGGAGTGGTATAAAACAACCATTTATTATGCTCATGGATTCTGTGGTCAGGAATTCAGACAGGGCACAGCTTGGAGGGACTGTCTCTGCTCCAGGATGTCTGGGCCTCAGCTGGAAGGCTCACAGGCTGGGGCCTGGAATCATCTCAGGACTCATTCGCTCCATGTCTGGTGGCTGTTGCTGGCTGTCAGCTGGAGGCTGGGTTCCTTTCCGTGTGGACTCCCGGTATGAGCTAGTTGGGGTTCTTCACAGCATGGTGGCTGGCTTCCACAGAGCAACCATGCCCAAAAGAGAGAGCTGAGAGTGGAAGCTGATCCTTTTTTATGACCGAGCCTTTGAAGGCAGCTCGTGTCACTTCTGCCATTCTTTATTGGTTAGAGCAGTCACAGCCCCGCCCAGATTCAAGGGGAGGGAACTTAGACCCCACCTCCCTGGGAGGAGTGAAAGTCACACTGCAGTAAGAGCTTGTGGGATGGGAAATCTTTTTGCAGTCACAAGCTACTACAAATCCACACAGCCTAACGTGATCCCTGTCACCCTAAGCACACATCTGAGTGCTGTCAACAAACCATTTGGTACTCAACACAAGCGTGGGGGCGAGGCTGCTGAGGGAGCCCAGTCTTCGGAAACAGGCCCTCCAAAGTGCCCAGGGCTGAATTTTGCAGCATGAATAGGAAGGGGCAAGAGGAGGGAGCGCCAGATGGAGGTAAGAACATGTGAGGCAGAAAGGAAGTGTGCTCCTGGGACTGGCATAGGGCATTCATTCATTCATTCCATAGCTCAGTCCTGCAGGCCTACTATGTGCCTGCTACCACTGCTCCAGCAGAGGCCTGGCCTCTTGCCTCAGGGAGCATAGATTGAGGGGTGGGGAGCTAGACAGAAACCTACTACTCAGTCAAAGTAGTAAATACTTGTCCTTTGAGTTTTGGACCATGGGAAAGGCTGAGACAGAGAATAAAGAAGTGGAAGGAGGGGCTTTGATGAGAAAGCAATATTTAAACTGAGACCTAGCATTAGAGGATTCAACTTTGTGATGTGGAGGACACTCCAGGCAGAGAGAACAGCATATGCAAAGGCCCTGTGGCAGACTTGCCAGTTGTAAATTAATTTTGGTATCTGGGGGTGAAAGTGGCTGAGGAAGATAGTTTGTGTCTAAGAGGAGGGAGGAAGAGAACGTAGGGCTGCCCATACGACCTGTGTGCCGGTGCCTGCCAGTGGCCCTGCCCCTCAGTGTGAGGTCTGCTCTCTAGGCAGGAAGGGGCAGAGTCGCTGCAATCCTGCCCCCTCTTAGACCCAACCCCTCCTACCTCCTCTCCCCGTAACCCCCTCACCCCGCGTCCTTCCTCCCCTTCTAGCGGTGCCCCACCCGCCTCCCTCTCTTTGTTTTCCCTCCCCCTCCTGCTGTGCGCCCCCTTCCCGCCCCCTACCCAGCTCCTACCCTTCCCCTCCGTAACCCTTCCACCTCCGGCCGTGCCCTCCCCCCGGGCCCGACCCCGCGCAGCCGGGCCCCCGGCCCGGGTAAGCATCTCCTAATTTTGTTCCAGAAGATAGAAAACTCTTTGTGGGCATGCTCAACAAGCAGCAGTCTGAGGACGATGTGCGCCGCCTCTTTGAGGCCTTCGGGAACATCGAGGAGTGTACCATTCTGCGCGGGCCAGACGGGAACAGCAAGGGTGCGTGGGGGCGGGGCGGGGAGTGGGTGGTGCGAGCAGGTGGGCGGGGCGAGGCCGCGGGTCTCCTGCCAGCCTGACGGCAAAGTCCCGAGCCGTCTGGGGCTGGCCCCGTCGGGCAAGCGGGGTAAGGCTGCGTGGAAGGGGCGAGGCGCTTGGGCCTGCGGGGATGGAAAGGCCGCGATGCAAGTCGCGGGGGACGGGACCACTTAAGGGTCCTTGGAAGACTCTGGCCGGTCCCGGTCTTTCTCTGCCTCCTTGTGTGGCTCTGAGTTTGTCGGTTCTCTCTCACTCTTTCTGTGTCTCACTCTGCTTTCTTCTGGGAGGCGCCCTATCCCCTCGGCCCCTCCCGTGCCCCGTCTTTCAGTCCTCCGCTTCTCTGACCTTCCTCTGGGCCCTGGCGCCGTGGCTCAGCCTCTCCCGTCCCCCCAGGGTGCGCCTTTGTGAAGTACTCCTCCCACGCCGAGGCGCAAGCCGCCATCAACGCTCTGCACGGCAGCCAGACCATGCCGGTGAGTGCGGCCGCCCCTGGGGAGTTGGGAGGGGGGAGGGAACGGGGCAATGAGGGACAGAGACATCCCGGCCACCCCACGCATCCGCGGGGCCCCGACAGCCCTCGCGCGCTCGGCCACAGGATGCCAAACGCTTGCGGTGCTCACAGCCTCCCCATGAGACCGCAAGGCACTGCCAATATCCGCACTTCTAAGACAAGGACATTGAGGCCCAGAGATGCTGAGAAAGTGGCCCAAGGTCACCAGATAGAAAAAGCCTGAGGTGGGGGTGGGGGGTTAAGACTCCAGACCCCTGGACGAAGGGTTCGTGCTTGTCACCGTGCCACCTACCCCGCCCCCATAGCACCCCGTGGAGAGGACTGGGTGGGCCCAGGCCAGGGAGCAGAGGCGGTTAGGGCTGGTGGGCCTCACACACAGTCCTGGCTGCAGGGAGCCTCATCCAGTCTGGTGGTCAAGTTCGCCGACACCGACAAGGAGCGCACAATGCGGCGAATGCAGCAGATGGCTGGCCAAATGGGCATGTTCAACCCCATGGCCATCCCGTTCGGGGCCTACGGCGCCTACGCACAGGCAGTAAGTGAGGGCACGGCAGGGCGGGGCTGGGGGCCGCAGTTCTCCGCAAATCCTAGGAAGCACTGACTGGAACAGGGAGAGAGGTTCAGTGTCCTGCTGACACCACACCACCCCCGCCACCGATCATGGAAGGGTGTCCTCAGGCCTTCTGGTTACTCCTGGCAGGGGTCCTTTGAGGTGCCCCAAGCCCTCATCCCCTACACCTCCTCTGTAGTCCTCTCAGTCCCCAGCTCAGGCCCCGGCCCATCAACTTCTTTCTTCCACACTGGGGCGGGCTCTGCCAGCATCTCCCCTCAGCTGCCTCTCAGACCTGTAGCCCCACATGGGTGGCACTAAGGTAGGCCAGGGTTCTGCTTCTAAAAATGCAAGCTCCCCTCACTTGTGCAGCAGGGTCCAAACTTGGCCACTTTCAGCAACCTCCCCCATCCCCACTCAGCTCTGTGAGAACCTTGGGGTGCCTGAGGTTTTATTTGTGATTCTCCTGTAGCTTCTACCCTACAGACTCCAAGTTAGGACCATTTTGAACAGACACCCATTCCAACTTAGTTCTACAGAGGCTCATCCAACACATCTCTAGAGCCTTGGATGTCACATCCCCATGAACGACAGGACTGACTGGTGCCCATGGAGCCAGTCCCCTTCCCCCACCTTCTACAACTTTAGAGTGCCAAGGACCTTACTATTACTTTTGAACACAGTTTCCTCTTGGGGGGCGGGAGGGGGGTGGTCTCTAACAGCCACTGAGAGCTAGGGCAGGTATGGGGAAGGCATCAGGGCTCTCTGGGGGTGGGGGTCGGGAGATGTGTCTGAGCTCCCTGGGGTGCAGGGCCTAGGAGGCTGGTCTCTGGGAGCTGAACCCTTTGGTGGGGAGGGTCGCCCCCCCTGGAAGCGCATGATATTTTTTGCACTCCCTCTGCCCCAGCTGATGCAGCAGCAAGCGGCACTAATGGCGTCAGTCGCACAGGGTGGTTACCTGAACCCCATGGCTGCCTTCGCCGCCGCCCAGATGCAGCAGATGGCGGCCCTCAACATGAATGGCCTGGCGGCCGCACCCATGACCCCAACCTCAGGTAAGTGGGCAGGTACCAACACAGGGCCTGGCCTGGCAGGAAAGCAGCTGGACCCACATCGGTACCTTTTGTTTGGCCAATTTTGGCTACCAATGGACCATCCTGTGTCAAGAGCACATAGTGTCTGGGCCCAATGCAGGCCTTATCCTTGGGCAGTGTGTCTCAAAAGTGTTCTAATTCCTGAGGACCCATGGGAAGATGGGATGTGGACCCCTGATGTCTGTGATATGATTTCAGAGTGGTGAGAATTTCACTCAAATTGTTTAGCCATATCAGGAAGCAATTCATGTTGATCTCTGGTGTAGATATCTGGAAAGAAATTGACATGAACACATCTCCCTTTGAGGTTTGAAAGGGAAAGAGCCCTGCCCATCCTGTGACCCCTGGCCCTAGCACAGAAGGAACCCTATTTTTTCATTTCCCTTTAACCCAACCTAGATTCACTGACTTTTTCCAAGACAGCTTCACAAGAAGCAAGAGAGAACTGTAAGAGTTACTAAAGGACAGAGGGGTTGGAAACAGCTCCGCTTACAAAGCATGTTTTTAATTGGATCCTGGCTATTGCCCAGTTCAATGATTCTCAACCAGGGCAATTTTGCCCCTCCCTCCCAAATATCTGGCAATGTCCTGGAATTTTTGGTTGTCACAGCTGAAGGGGGGCGGTGCTACTGTAATCTGGTGGGTAGAGACCAGGGGTGCTGCTAAACATCCTGCGATGCACAGGACAGCTCCCTACAAGGAATGCGTGGCTACAGATGCAGTAGTTTCCAAGTTAAGAATCCCTGTCCAGCCCCAAGGGCTGAGCACTCATTCACCAAGTTCCCTTCGCTGTCTGCACTCAGGCCGTAGCAGCAGCCTTCCTGACATCCAGGAGCTATTCCTTTCCCAGCTAAAAGCTATAAAAGACTGTGCCATCTCTAGCCCCAACTTGAACGCCACCCCAAAGCTCTGATCCCCGACCTAGGGACACTCCTGATGGCCTCAGGTCCTTATCCACAGAGACACCCTGCTTCCTACATGAAGAAGAAGGCCTTTCCAGCCTCTGGGGCCTCAGTACAATTCCCATGCCATCCACACCTTGGTTTCCATCCACCTGGTGTAGGGAGGGCACAACATATTGTCACCTGACCCCAGCTTTACCCCTGCCACAATGAGCATTACCACTGTCCTAAGAGGAGGAGGCCAGGCTGTCTACTTTCTGTGGGAATAGGGCTGAGTCTGGACTCTGCAAAGGCCTTTCTCCCTCAATGCAAGGGAACACCACAGTTAAGACCTCCTCCACCTGAGTATCAAGACTTACTCATAGGGAGGCAAATCAGCCCCTCAGTGATCCAATTAGGATAGCAGAGAGCAGAGCCATAGCTTAGAAACCCCTTGGTGGCTAGACAAAGACCAGTCCATCCTGACTTATCTGGGGTGAGCACGAATCATTGAAAAAGACTAAAGGAAGACCAAGTGTGGTCAAAGTCAAGGGCACTTAGAGGTCTATGTGCTGCTGGTCCAAGGTCAAGCAGTCAGTGGTAAGAGAAGTCTTTGTGGGGTAGGTGAGATTTGGACTCTGACGTATAGATATAGTTGGGATAAGTAGAGTCATTACATATAGGGAGATGATAACCCAAGGCCTGATTCACAGATAGGATTGAGTTGATGTGTGAGGTCCAAGCCCATCCCCAGGTCCTTGGAGCCAGCAGGGTGGAGCTCCATGGGTTGGCCTTCATCACCTTTGTTCTGTTTGCCTCCCCTTCTCCACCCATCTTCACCTCTGGAACCAGGTGGCAGCACCCCTCCGGGCATCACTGCACCAGCCGTGCCTAGCATCCCGTCCCCCATTGGGGTGAACGGCTTCACTGGCCTCCCCCCACAGGCCAATGGGCAACCTGCTGCAGAAGCTGTGTTTGCCAATGGCATTCACCCCTACCCAGGTAAGAACATGTGGCAGCCCTTCCTTCCCCATGCAACACACTCCTCATCCATTCTGTCCGTGCCCTTGCCGTTATAACAGGGAATGTGTGGCTCCCTGCCCTCTGTTCCTTGGTGGAACCCCAAATGTGATCAGGGAAAGCCAGCCTCCTGCCTTCCTTCAGGGAGCTCCTGATGGAAGAGAAGACAGATCCCTGGGGGTTTGTCAGTCTGATGGGTGAGAAAAAACCCCATTCCTGGGGCTCCCTCAGGGGAAAGGAGAATAGATGAGTTGTCCAGCTCATCTAGAGAGAGGCTAATAGCTGCAAATTACTTGAGAGTGAATTTGACCCAAAAGAAGTGAGGGGATAGAAGCTAAAAGAATAATCATATTTAGTATTAAATAGGAAAAGCCTCTTTGGGGAAGGAAGTGGAGGTATATAGATTGGCAGTCTGGCTAGTACATACCAGTTCGGTCCCTTGGTGCAGCCGCGGTCAGAACTTTGGACAGTTCCTGGGTCCTACCTTCATGAATTCCGGCACACAAGAAGATCCAGGAGGCCTGTTCCTGATTAACTTTGTTCCTCTAAAATTTAGCAGTTCTCCTGTGGTAAGAGTGTCCAGTTGACTTTAAGCAGCTCATCTCCCTGGTCTTGAGGACTGGAGCTGGGAAGCTGGGCCCAAAGCCCTAGAGTAGACTGGCAAGAGGCAGTGTAATAGCAACGAGGAGAATGCTGTCCTTGCTGGAGGGCAGGTGATGAGGTCACAGAGTCTCCATAAGTACTAGTAAGTGCCCAGTCTATGAAAGGTGAAAGGGGGGTGGCCCAGAAGGAGGGCAGGACATGGGCCTATCTCCTGGGAGGTCAAAATCCAGTCAGGAACATAACATGCATCAACAGAATAATGAGGCAATAAGGCAGAGTAGACTTTGGTCAAGAGTGAGCGTTCTCTGATTTGAGATGCCTAAGGATTCCAATGAAGGGAGAGTTCTTTCATTCTGTAGGCTGAGGAGGCCCAACAGAGCCTCCTGTGGAGGCGCTCAGATCAAACATTAAGTACGGATGAGCAAGGAGCACACTGCTATGGAGGGCCTGTCCTGGCAGGGGCAGGGAGGGTAAGGAGGTTGGCCCAACTAGGGCAGAGGAGATCAGCCTTGGGGGGCAGAGTAGTGCTTCCCACTCTGGTCGCCCATCAGAATCTACTGTGTGGCTTCGTAAAACCACAGAAGCCCAGAGATTCTGATTTCACTGGAGTGAGGCCCAGGCATCCATAGAATATAAAAGTTGTACCAGCAGCAGAGTAGAAGCTGAGTGTGCCAGAGAGAAATAGAGGAGAATTTCCTGACTTTGAACTTGGAGTTGTTCATGATCCCATCTCAGTGCTTTTCCCACAACTCACCCCTCACTGCATAGCGAACAGACCAGGGAAGCCTAGAGAGTGAAGTGACAGGGCCTGGAGGGGGATCTGGAGTGTTGCTTAATGGTGAAGGCTCCAGGCTGGGAGGGGCTTGGCAAGCTGGAGGTGGGAGAGAGCCCCCCTATCTCAGGTTCTTGGGCTTCTCCTCGCTCAGGCTCATGGGCTGGGAGATACAGTCCCCAGCACATCTGGGTGGTTTCACCACCCCCTCCCTTGCCTGCCCACAAGCCCATCTGGGTCTCTGGATTTTGACAAACCTGGTCCTTCCCCACCCCTACCAGCATCTGTGAGCTATTTCCCTCGTGGAATTTGGAAACGTTTCTCTCCCCCATTTGTAACAATCTGTCACATCCCATAAACAGTCCCCTGCCAGAGCAGGAGGGAGGGATGGAGGGAAGGGAAGGAGAAAAGTAGTACATTAAAAAAATGAATTTCCCATCTTTAAATGCAGAGTTCGGAGCTGCTGTAACGAGCGAGATCCTTCAAAGTGCTCATTCTTTGGCAGTTACTAATGAGGTCGTTAAGCAGCTAAGTAGAGAGGGGTCTCAGAAAGCCTTTCTCCACGTCCTAGCCCCAGGTAGCATCTCTGCTCCCCCCTTTGCTCATCGGGGTCATGCTGGAAGCACACAGTGTGGCTTTTACTACCACAAAACGCCCCTGAGGGGTGACCCTCACAAATGGTAGGGACTGGTTATCTCTCGCCCGTGTCACGGTGTTTGCTGAGCACTTGCTACGATCCTGGCGCTGTGCTGGGGGAGCTGCCACAGAAGTCGTGCAGGTTATATTCTGCACAGGGCACCGCAACTCTGCCCAGAGGAGAGACATCTTTTTTCTAATTGGCATAAAGGCATTCTGTGGCTGAGCAGCTGGGTAGCCCAAGAGGACAAGCAAGATGTGGCTCTCCCTCCAGGGAGCTCAGGCTGGTGGAGGAGTCAGGCGGAGAGAGCAGTAGGCCACCTGCCAAACGCCACCACTACTGCTACCTCACCACTGGGGGCTCCAGTGTCCACCGTGGGGGAAATCGAGGGATAGGGTTTTGTCCTGGGCAACCCCAGGCGGGAAGGAGCCCGCGTCCTTACCTGTCTTCAGCTCCCCACTCTGGGCAGTGCCCTCCTGGGCCCAGCTCACCTGCTACCATCCACATGCTCTCTAAGGACCTCTGCCCCAGGACTTTCCCTTGTCCCCCAGAGACCCAGGAGCTATTGTTCTAGTGTAATGTTACTGAGAGGTTCAGGGAAGAGAGCTCAGAAGGGAAATTTGGGGATTCTTCTTGGTCTGCAGGCCCCAAAGCCTGGCACTGCCGTTTAGCTTCGCTAGGCCGATAAGCCTGGATGGTTTCCTTTCTGCCTTGCTGTGTTCACCAGCTTGCCTCAAATGTACTGAGGCTGGATCTGTCCCCACCCATCTCCCTGGGCCCCCAAGGCCAGCCCACTCCCACTTCAGTCATCACTGCCCTTGATCACCAAAGGCAGTGCCCACCACTGGTCCATGCTGCAGCCAGGCTTCTGCCCACCACATCTGCAGACACAACAAAGGCAACAGAAGTGAACCAAGAAGTCCAGCTTCTCTGGGCTGCTTGCCAAAGTATCAGCCCAAGGGCCCCCGCGCACTGGGCAGTAGACGTCCCACTCATGAGATCAGGTGTTAGAAGGTCCTTGGTCTTCTTGTTCTTTGGTGTCTGTGGGCACCGTGGGGCAGATCTGTTTGTGTGGTCAGTTCTACTAAGGGCATGCCCAGGAATGAAAGACCTCTGTGCCTCGTGCAAACTCCCTAAGAATTTGGGAGGGGGTCCCTCTGTTTGAGTAGGCATGGGTGGCCCAGGAAGAATGGCAGGATGAGGCCTCCATGCCCTTTCTTTTGCCTAGCTGGGCTCTGCCCCTGAGTCCTGCTAGGGATAAGTGAGGAGGAAACCAGCCTCCTGATAGCCTCTAGCACCCTTGCCTGCTTTCCCACAGCCCTTCTCCAGGGCCAGGTCCCTCAGGTGTCTCCCCACAAGCCCCTCATGGTCAAGCCCTTCTCTGGTGTCTCCTTCCCTGCCCTTCCCAGCCTTCTGCATGAACCACACCTCTCACCCCTGACCCAAGCCAGCGGCAGGCTGCATCCCCCAGCCAGGGGAAACAGCTTTCCACCCTACTAAGGGCCCCAGGCTGAGGAAAGGGGAATCCCCTTTCAGGGTTCCTGCCTCAGATGCCCTGCCCCAGGACAGAGACCACAGTGGCTGGGGAGGCAGTGCAGCTACAGCCTCATCTCCAGGGGTGTGGTGGGAGAGGAGCTGGTTTGGGTAGGCATCGCTGACCTCTGCCCCCTTGGCTCCCCTGCAGCGCAGAGCCCCACCGCCGCGGACCCCCTGCAGCAGGCCTACGCCGGAGTGCAGCAGTATGCAGGTCGTTAGTATCCACGCGTCCCCTCGGTGGTCCCCCGGCTGTATGCACCTCCCCATGCCTGGGCACCAGTGCCCCCTACCCAGCCAGGCCTGGGCCTAGCACTGTGAGGGAGGGGGGAGCAGGGCAGGACTGGCCAGGAGCTGTGGTAGAAGGAGGGAGTGTTATACTGACAGAGACCCCCCCCAACCCCCGCCGGGCTCCCTCCCCCTCTGCAGGTGCCCCTTGGCCTTCAGGCAGAGCTTACCTAACCCTAACCCAACACGGCAGTGGTGGGTGGTCCGAACGTGCGATGAGTTGGTGAGCTAGGCTAAGCTTTAACCTTGCTGTGAAGTGACTCATCTTTGAGGCCAGATTTCCCTCCTCCGTGGTGCTGCCAGGGCTGGCTTGTCCAGGAGCACCAAGCCTCCCAGCAGCACTGGGGTGAGGCCGGAGCTAGGTGTCACTGGCTCAGAAAGCACCGATGCCTGGGTTTGAGGGAAGGGAAGCAGTTTCCATCCCTGCCCCCCACCAGCCATACACAGGCAACAGGAGTGGGGCCCGAGCAAGGAGGACAGGGAACAAGGGAGGATAGGCAGCCAGAGGTAGAAAAGAGGAGGGGCGAGCAGATGGCCTTGGGTCACTGAATGGGAAGGTGATGAGCTACCGTAGGAAGCCCAAGGCCAGCTGTCAGCCACGCTTCTCTCCCTCCCCCAGGCTCGGCAACACACACACACACACACACACACACACACACACACACACACCCACAGTCATCCCCGCCCAGCCAGTGTCCTACTGTCTGGCCTGGTCAGGGTCCCTCCTTGCTGTGTTTAGGAGCCAGCAGTGTCTCCCCTGAGGGTGATGGAGCTTCCTGGCACCATGGGGACCTGGATAAAGCGGGCTTCTCACATCTGGAGTCCAGGGGAAGCTCTCTCCTTCACCTGCTGAGCCCCTTTGGGAGCCAGGCCAGGCGGAGGAGGGGGCTAGCCACTCCTGTCCCACCTCTGACCCTTTCCAGTTGAATATAGAAAGCATCAGATTTGTTCAACTCAGCCCTCTGCCCCTGGGGAACCACCCACTGGCAGGGTCCCAGAGGCCAAGCTCACACCTAGGGGGGCTCCTGTCTCCCACACAGGTGCCATCTGAGCGAGACTGAGGGTATGTGGCCGGAGTCAGTCGTGGCTCAGAGAAGGGGGAACCTTGTGGGTTCCAGGCGGTGTGGGGCGATCCTCTCCAGGGCATTCTGATGTTTTTGATTATCCGTTATTATCCACACGTGGGTTGTCCATTGCAGATTAAACTTGCCTCCCCCATGCACACACCAGCGTGCGCGTGCACACACGTACACACACACACACACCAGCGCACATACACATCTTCTAGTCTTCCCTTTGCCGCTTCTCCTTCATTACTGCTGAAAACTGGCTTTATCTTAAAAATGCATTTTTTCGCTGGTCTGCTTTTACTGCTCAACACTGAAATTTCTCTCTTTCTTCCTGCCTCTCACCCTGTCTCTCTCCGTGTCACTGTCACCGTCTCTTGCTCTTGCCTCTTCTCTTTGGCCCTCCAGCAGCCGCCTACCCTGCTGCCTACGGTCAGATAAGCCAGGCCTTTCCTCAGCCACCTCCAATGATCCCCCAGCAACAGAGAGAAGGTGAGTCTGCCAGCGGGGCTCCTACGCCTCTTCCCCCCTTCTCTCCCCAAAGAGGCTGCTCGCCTGGGCCTTTGGCAGGGGTGTTCCGTTGGCAAGGTGACCACATCTGCATTGTGTTGAGGGTGAGAGGAGCTGCGGGACGGTGAGAGGCAGCGCTCTCCAATCCAAGCGCGGAGGTGCACTGTCACGGGCAGCTCTGTAAACCCAGGTGGAGGGTGGTCAGGAAGGTGGGGTCCCGGAGCAGGCAGGGTCCAAGAATCTCCCCTCCCTCGATGGGCAGCATTTGTCCAGTGGCAAGGAAGGGGAGAAATATGAATGGTCGTGGCTGGGGTGGTGGGCGGGAGTGGGGATACCAGTTCATCAGGGACAGAGGTTGTACTTTCCAGGTAAGAAAGAGAGTCAGCTGGAGCTCCCAGGGCAGGACTCCATGGGCAGGTGAGGGGATGGAGTGCCCCAGTGTAGGCCTAGTGAAAGAAGGGGATCCTGGAAAGCCACATCTGGAGGCCCTGGTGTGAACAGGGCAGCAAGGCCAGTGGGCCTCGGGAGGCTGGAACCTCGTAAAGAATCTGGGTCCTCCCATTCCAGAGTCCGGAGCCCCGCAGGAGCTGGATAACAAATCCACGCCCGGGGATGCAGCGATGCTCACAGAGCTCGGTTTCATGGGGTCCTGTCTCTCTACCCCGTGAAAAGGGTCAGCCTGCCAGTGAGGCCACCACACCTGCCCATGTAGCCCACGTGGCCAGAGGGTTCCAGTGGTTTCCATATCCTGGCTCGTAGCCCCTGCGGCAGACTCTCCCAGACCTGTGGGATGCGGGCTAGTCCTGGAAAGGACCCGGGGGTCTGCTGGTCCAAAGCCCTGTGGTCAGACAGGCCCCGAACAGGCCCCAGAGCCTGGATGGTTGAAAGGCTGGTTTTTGAAGCAAACCCTTCTGGGTCTGACTCCCAGCTCAGCCCCTCGTCTCTCAGCCTTGGTGTCCTCACCTGTAAAGTGATGATCATTCCCTAGAGGGGTGTGAGGATCAGACTAGCTCAAGTCTGCCTTCCAGACTCCAGCAGTCATCTGCGGCTTTCTCACCGTGCCCACAGCCCTCCCCTCACCAGTTTGTCACCCTCTCCAAAGTTGTATGTGAGGCATTATCTTAGTTCACATGCACCAGGCAGCTCCTGAGACCTGTGTCATCACCTCCCTGGGCCCATGAGGATGAAGCTGCAGGAACCCAGAGGGTGCACGGTGAGGCCCCCTGCTCACTCCTGCAGCCATGCTGCAGCTGCTGCAGCTGCTGCAGCTCCAAGTCACGCCTGGGCCCATTGGTGAAGTGTGGCCCATCAGCCTGCCTCTGCCAGATGGTCCCCTCACTGGGCTGTGGCCCTGGAGCCTGCCCTGCCCCCTCCCTCCTCCCCCCATTGATGCCTTCCAGCACCACATCAGTCAGGTCAGGGCCACAAGCAGTGGGTCCAAGAGTCCAGCATTGCCTGTCCCAGGCCCAGAGCAGAGAGCTGTGCCCAATGGCCCTTACTGCTCTGTCACCCCACTGGCTTCAGGCTGACCTGCCCTCACCTCGTAGTCAGTGCCCTGTATCACTCTGGCCTGTGGCTCAGAGGTCTCTAAACCCTGCTACACACACACACACACACACACACACACACACAGCTGCAGGTCATTGCTGGTCTGACCAACACATATGACAGCCCCTACCACTGGCCTTAAACACAGTCCCCACCATCTGCTTCCTGCCCCACCCCCTACCTCATACTTTGTACCAACCCATGAGTCTAGCTCTGAACTCTTTCACATACCTTCTCTCCATCTCCAAGCAGCTTCAGCTACCCCCACCCCTGTGCCCTGCTCTCTAGAGCTGACCCTGTGTGTCCAGTCCCCACTCCAGCCTCCCATCGGGCGGGAGGATCTCCCACTGTTGTCTCCATCCTCCCTGACTTCGGTGCGCTGTGCGAGCAGGCCATGGGAAGCAGTGAGATGTGAACCTAGATCCCTATAGAAGCGCGCTGCATATAAGGGCGAGCTCATGGTGCTGGAAGTGGGGTCCTCGGGGAAATCTGTGGGGTCCTGAAGGATGAGGACTCCCCTCCAGCATGTAGAGATGGGGAGATGGGCATTTGAGGCTGGGAGAACAGCAGGAGCAAAGGCATGGGTGCTGCAAAGTCTGCGGTGAGCCTGGAAATGGGGTGGAGACAGGCTGAGAGTGGGTTGGAGCCAGACCAAAGCCATGTGCAGCATCGCATGAGGCACGAACAAGAAGGCTGTGTTCCTCCAGCCGTGCCAGTAGTTAGCCTCTTTTCACCGTGGTCACCTCCCCTTGTGTCATGCCATTGAAATACCAGGACACACTGGTTGCCGGGCAGGACCCTCCTTCCAGCTCCCTTGTCTTTGAGCTGAGCCTGAAAACAGATTCCTGAAGGCCCTGAGGCTGTCTGACCACAGATCAGCCCAGGTTCCTGTGCCAGGGGCTGCAGTGTGGTCCAGGGCAGTCACTTTCTGTCTCTGGAGCTTCATTTCACCATTTGTCAGGAGTCTGGTTTGGACCAGATTGATCTCCAAAGTCCTGCAGTTATGCCATCTGGGTGCTCTGTAATCTGGGAATTCAGGTTCCGGGGTAGCCCCAGTAGGACAGTGTGTAGGCTCACTGTGGAGGGGTGAGGGGCAGGGGGCTGGGAGTCCCTGTGGGGCTCAGCCGCACACCATGCTGATGGGACTGAGCCTAGAGGTTCTACGCTCGAAGGCTCCTTGTGTCTTTAAGGAGAACAGAAATAACGTCCACACAAAGCAGCTTGCAGAACTTGAACTTGTAGGGAGGGCCCCAAGTTCAAGGCGGGTGTCAGCGTAGGTTGGAGGGGTGGGGGAAGTCTGGAAGAGTTGGGATGGGAGAGGAAGGGAGGCTCGTGCTGGGGGAGGGGAGTAGGAGGACGGGGGGGGGAAGGCAAATGCCCCTGCCCCTAGAGAGCACCCCCTTCTGGCTGGAGAGAAAGCTTCCCAGACCTACCTGAGAAAGAGCCTCAGACTACAGAATATGGGCTCTGGACTCAGGGAGCCCCAGGAAGGGAGACAGTGTGGGGAGGATCTGGGTGCGACCCTGGAGGAGGTGTGGATTAGATGAGGCCTTCAAGCTGGTTCCTGCTGCAAGGGGACTCACATCTAGCTGGGGACACATTCACACAGTGTGAACCAGTGAGAACCTGCCATGGTTGGAGGGGAGGGGGTGGGGGCAGGGCCACCAGAGCTTGTGGAATCCGGCCCTGGGACCCCTGGCAGTGGGTGAAAGAGCTCGCTTGTGCCGGTTCTGAAAGCGCCGTCAGCTGGCAGAGCCAGCAGTCCAGGGAGGGGAAGCCGGAGGCCGGGGATGGGCAGATGGTGCAGGACAGGGACCGGGGCCGAGGAGGTCATTGGTTCAGAGGGAGGCTTTGGTGGTCAGAGGACTCTTAGCTATCAGCTGTGAACCTCAAGGGGGTGCAGATAGATGGAGGAAGTTAGGAGAGCGGGAGGGGAAAGGAGAGGAAGAAAAGGGCAGAGAGATTCCAGAGCTGATGATTTGCTCCAGAACCAGGTGATCTGGCAGCCTCACGCGTCCCAGAGAACCAGGGTGCTGGCTGTGAAAGCCACACAGCAGCCCACATCGGTGCCTTACAGTCTTCACTCTTAAGCTCCTGCCTAGTTTCTACCAGCCTCTGATCAGCACCTCGTTCTTATCCAACTCTTAGCAAGTGCAGCTGTTTCCTCTGCATGTCCTCCATAGGCTGGAAACAAACATTGGAATGTCCACACTTTAGAAGGTTAAGTTATCTGTGGCATGCTCTATTTTAGATGGCAGGAAAAAGACGAAGGAGTTTGGAGAGATTTCCCATTCAGAGTTAAAACTGAGCATTTTGGTCATTTAAAAAGAAACATGTGAATCTTCAGCTATCTGCAAATTTCAGAAATCCAAAGACCTCAGCGGGGTTCAGGGTTTCTGGGGCACTGAGATGAATGATAGGTAGGTAGAGAGAGAGGAGGGCACAGACTATGGAGGCAGACAGCCTGGGTCTGGGTTCATATCCTGGCTCCATTGCCTACTAGCTATGTGACTTGGCAGGTGACTTAACCTCTCTGGCCTCAGTTTTCTCTTCTGTGAAGTGAGAATGACAACAGCCTCAGGGCTGCTGTAAGGATTAAGTGAATTAACATCCACGTGAAGTGTGTAGAGCAGCCTGGCATGTAATTCGTGCTACAGAAGTGGCAGGGCTGTTACTGCTGTAATGAAACGGGAAGACTTACACCATAAGGCTCGTGGTACCCTGGCTTGTGGGTATCCCATCACGGAGCCTTGCAGTGAAGCCCCTTCTGCTCACCTAGCTTGCTGGAGGAGGTGGGGTCAATCTTGGTTTCCACCTCCAAGATCAGGGCTGACTTTAAGGTTCGGGGTAGCAGAGGGTAGGGCCGTTGGGGACCAGATGGGAAGCAGGGGCTGCTGGCCACGAGGAGGATGGGGATTCCAGGCCCCAGAGTCCTGCCTCTGGGGGCTGAAGCGAGGCTTCCAGAGGCCCCAGCACCACAGGCATGGCTGCCCCCAGGGCAGCTCCCTCTGACATCCCCTGAGCAGGGTTCCAGCAGGTCTCCCTACCCCTGCCTCTTCTCAGCATCTCCCCTCCATGACTGATCAGGCCTTGGCACGTTCACCCCATTCACTGGTTGACTCCACCCCTGGAGCCCTAGAGTTGCAAGGCACCCTGTTATGGACCCATTTTTCAGAAAAGGTCACTGAGGCGCAGAGAAGTTCCGTGACTTGCCCAAGGGCAGAGCGGAGACCAGAGTTCAGACCCGGGGCTCAGCAGCCCCCCTCTTTCCGTGGCCACTTTTGGATCTTGAATGAGACTCCCCCTCCTAACCTCGCCCCCACCCCTCCCTGCTGCCGCTGCCTAACTCGCTCACCTCTCCTCTGTCTCTCTCTTCCCCCACCCCGCCATCCCTCCTCCCCCGCCCCCCCCTCACCGCAGGGCCCGAGGGCTGTAACCTGTTCATCTACCATCTGCCCCAGGAGTTTGGGGACGCTGAGCTGATGCAGATGTTCCTCCCTTTCGGTAATGTCATCTCCTCGAAAGTGTTTGTGGATCGGGCGACTAACCAAAGTAAATGCTTTGGTGGGTAAAGATAACAAACCAGCTTCACCTAGGACAGGGTGGTGCTCGCACCAATTTACCGGTGTCCAACTGCTTTTAACCTGCTCCTTCACATCGGCCCCACTCCCAAGTGCTCCCTGTGCCCAGCCTCCAGCCTCCACCTCTCACCCCTCTTCTCTCTTCTGTTCTTTTGGCTTCTTGGCTTTCTCTGCCCACCCCCCCACCCCATCCAGCCCCCCTACCCCCTGTCCCAGTCCAAGAGATAGTCTCTCCTCCCAGGCAAAAAGTTCCATTCCCACCGACTGAGAAGGGGAAGGGACCCACCTTGGGCAGGGGTGGAAGGGCAGGGAGCAGAGCCTGGCGACACCCATTCTCCCAGCGCCCCTCTCCTCTCAAGGCCACAGTGGCCCCGGGGTGAAAGCCAGGCATGATCCTTGGGGTGGGAGGTCCGCCCAGCCGAGGCCCCTACCCCGCCGGCCCCTTGGCCTCCTCTGTCCATCTCTCTGTCCTGCCCCTGACCCCGTTCTCTGTCTACCCTGCTCTTTGCTCCCCTCCTGCCATCCAATGAACCCTCCTCCCCCTACCCACCCCCTCAGGCCACGAGAGCCAAATTGTTGAGGAATCAGGAAGAGGAAACTGGTTCCTGCCCTCAGGAAGCCTCAGGTCTGAGCTTAGATGAAAATCACATCTATTCAACAGCAGTGAAATCAGCGAGGCACCAAGTAATGGAGGAAGGAGAAAGGCAGGTGGATGCAAACAGACAAAAAGGAAGGGGAGGAAATTCCAGGCAGGGGGAATGGAATGGATGAGGGCATGGGGGCTGGGATGAGAAGAGTCAAAGGTCAGTGAACGAGGAAGCAGGAGGCTTTGGGGAGAAAGGAGGGTTCAGGGGAGACCAGCTGTGAGGGTGGGCCTGTGCTGGGGAGGGTTTCAACCATTCAGGTGAAGATGCTTCAGGTGGTGTGATAGGTAGTGGAAGATGGTGGGAGTAACAGGATGAAGTACTTCTGGTAAATTCTCCTGGGCAGGGTGTTAGATAGGAGACGAAGGACTTGGGAGGATCTAGGAGTATGGTTATCATATAAAACACAGGATGCCCGGTTAAATCAGAACTTTGGATAAACAATGGATACATTTTTAGCATACGTATATCCCAAATATTACGTGTAATATGTCCCATGCAATATTGGGGATATACTTATACTAAAAAAGTAATTCATTGTTTATCTGAAATTCCAATTCATCTGGACATCCTGAGTTTCAGTTTGCTTCCAACCTCCTGGAAACCCACCTCATCCCCCCACCTCTCCTCTCCACTCCTCCTTAGCCCCTCTCCCACCTCTTCTGCCTCCATGGGAGCTTCTTTCTGGGGCCAGACCCACTCATGATTCCCCAAGGATTGAGGAGTCCAGTCCCCAGAGCTGAGTCAGCCAGAGGCTCAGAATCTCCAGGCTGACCCCCAGATTCTGGGGCTGTGAGGACAGAATAGGATCCTGCTTTGGCCAGGGAACCTGGGTCCCCCCTTGGGTGTGGGGAGGGGGAGAGGGTACAGACATGCAGAAGCACCAGGAAGCACATGTTAAGGAGATTCCAGTTTGGAGACCAGGAGGGGCTTCCAGGACCAGGAGGGGCTTCAGGGTGGAAAGCATGTTCCCCAAGGCAGTCAAGATCTTTTCACATTGTCCTTTCCCCTCTGGCAGCTGCCACTGAAAATCTGTGGCATATCAGTGGCACAGAGTTGCCCCAGCAGCTCATTTCTCTGGGGGATGGGAAAACAAGGCAAAAGGAAAAGACCAGGTTGCACCCCTCCACTGTTTGACTGGTGTTTCTTCTGACGAATTACATTATGTATGTAAAAACGACAAACTGGAGATCAGCTGCCTTTGCTCTCTAAGTAAGCCTCAGATGTTCCATAAATCAGAAGAAAACTGTGAAGAGCCCAGAACATGCTGGGCCCCGGGGCTGGAGTGCGTTTGACTCCCTGGAGTCAGCCCCGGACTACCCTTGCCATTAGCTCCTTCAAGTCCTCCAGCAAAGGCTTTCGCCCTGCTGCTTCTGGGAGTCCACGCCCACCTACCTCTACTCTGGCTCTTTCCTCTCTTCCTGAACAAACGGCTAGCGCTGAACATCCACTGGCCTTGAAAAAGGACAGGCTCCCGCCAAGCTGGCTGGCCCAGTGGCTCCTCCTTCAGGCTCTTGGGTTCCCTCCCTCGCTCTGGCAGCCGAGCCTGTGCAGCTCTCCCCAGCACGCACTCATGGGCAAGTTTACTCTCTGGGCCTCAGTGTCCTTATTTGTGGAATGGGGATTTCAGCAGTCAGCTCTCAGCAGTGCTGTGAAGGTCATACGAGATGGTGCATGTGAGGGACCTGGCCAGAGCGGACCCTCAGGAGGTGCTAGGGTCCCCTTTATTCCCCAAAGGAAGGGCCATTTTTCTGCACACGTGGTCCTCTGTTTAAGTGAACTCCTTAAAGGCCCCGCGTGCTCTTTATAAGCATAAACAGAATCTTTCAGAGGCCGTCGTGAACATATGTGCAGCACAGATGGTTTCTGCATTGGAAGACGGGCTGGAGGGCCACCAGGAGGGCATCCTACCTGCACAGCCTCCCACGGTCTGGAAGGCAGAAACCTCGGGAGTGGGAGGAATGGGGCAGGGGCTTCTGGGAGAAGGGACACAGCCCTGGAAACCGTGAACATGGGAGATGGTGCCTAGAGCCTTGCTGAGGCGGGGCCAGCAGGGGAGATGCTCCTTGCCCTGACTGCTAGCCAGTTAACAAAACTAGTTCAGGAAGAAAAGTTCCTTGAGCCCGGAATCCTTCCCAACCCCCAGGCTTCCAGAAACTCAACCCGAAGGCTGGGCTTCTTCCCTCCTCCAGGACCCTCTCTCTCCCTTTACACCTCCACCCTAGACAGCATCTCCAGCCGTTTTTATCTTTCTCCCATCTCTTCCCCACTTTGCTCGTATTTGTTCTTTTGTGGGGGGAACTGCCACCCACAGTTCGGCTATCTTGTCCCAGGAGGAAGAGAGGCGTTTAGTTTGCCCACCCTCTTTAATCTGGGGGAGAGCAGTATAACAGATGCACCATTCACGCGTTTGAAAACTGCTCTGCTGACAGCTCGATTTAGTCATCAGTCAGAGAAGTTGGTAGGGAAGGGATGGGCCAGGAGGGCATGAGAGGGGGAGGTGGAAAGATGACTCACATTGATTTCCAACTACGGATAATCAGAAATCTCTCCTATGTGTTTTCGCCCATAGATTAATACATAGATGTAGGTTATGTTGCCCTGGGCCCATCTCTGACCAATCTCATCCGAGCTCACATGCTACCACTCTTGGGTACACTCACATGCGTGTACACACACCCCTCCCCCATCTTTGATGGTGCATGGCCTCCAGAGAAAATGCACACAAATGCAGGAAGGAGAAAGAGAAAAGAGGCCGGTGGAGGCGGTGTCTGGGGCGGAGGTAAAAGGGCCACCACACAGGGAGAGTAAGGGAGGGGTCACAGGCAGGCCCAAGGTACCACAGACAATTAACCGAGAAAGCAGCTTTCTACATCAACGGAGTCTGTCCACCTATCCCTTATATATCTAATGGCCGTTTGGAGATGAGCACCCCAAATGAAGTGCATTTGCAGGATTGCCTGGGAACTTCGCCAAGCTTAGTTTCATATATTTTGCAGGATCTAAGCCCATTTTACAGGAGAAAAGGCCTTTAAAGTCAAATAAATTCCAGGAAATACTAGGTTAAACAAAGACGTAAAGAAGAGAGAAATTGGGGTGGTAGAGGGATGTTTTTATTTGTTAATGTGCCATGAACTGTCCCAGAGGGGCCTGGCTGTAAATTTGCTTGACCACCAAAGGCCCTTTCTCAGGGAGCACCTTTTAGGGCCATTTTTGGGAAATGCTGATGTAGTGTAGTCTATAAGGAGATGCATTCGAAGTTCCAAAAGGTGACTTCTAAATCAGCTTTGGGAACCTAATCCATTCCCACCTGGGAACTGCTTGTTTCAGAAGGTGACTGGGAGCCATGGATGGTTCTATATCCTGTCCTGGGATATTGGGAGGAGTGAACACGTGAAAAGCACTTCTGCAGTCTGTAGTACACGGAGAAGGCGCTTAGCTAACTTTCGCTAATAGGATCAATTTGTACTATTATTGTTATACCATTAGTAGTGTTATGAGGGATTCACATCAATGGGTGCGTGCTTAGTCCGGGGCAAGAGCCCCTGCTCCCAGGGTGGAGTTTTACTAAATGAAAAGATGGTGCAGACGGCCCCTGGGAGCGAGGTGGCTGGTTAATGTGAGCCGGTGTGGACTGGCCCCGGGGGCGGTGGCCACCCGGAGCCTGGCTGGGGGCAGCCTCGGCAGGGACGGAGCGGGAGGAGGGGCGGCGGGGACCCTGCCTCTGCCCTGCCCGGCGGCCGGGCGGCACTCGCGAGGGGGGCGGCCGGAATCGGCGGCGGCGAAGTTCGCTCCGTGGCGCCTCCCCTCCCTCCCCTCGCACTCCTCTCTCTCCCCAGGCCGGCACCCCGTGCCCTCCCGCTGCCAGGCCCCCTCCTGTCAGGGAGGACAGTGTCCAATAAACTCCTCCACCCGCAGGTGTGTCCGCCCTCTCCCACCGCAGGCAGGGGCTGAGGTGCCGGGGCCGGCGCGGGTGGGGGGCGGGCGCCTCTCCGAGCCCCGCCGCGCCGCGGGCGCCCCGCCTGGGGGAGAGGGCGTGCGGGACAGCGGCGCCGCCCAGAGCCGAGGTGGAGCCGGGGCGGCCTGGCCCGGGGCCGCGCGGGTCGGGGAGCCGGGAGCCTCGGCAGCGCCCGCCGCCGGAGCGTCCGCAAGCACGCGGGCAGTGTGGGGGGGGCACTAGGCCGGGACGGGGGCGGGGGCCCCGAGGGGGAGGAGCCTTGAGCCCCGCCCCCGCCCGGAGGCGCGGCGGGAGCGGGGAGACACCGCCGCCCGCCCCGCCCCGCCCTCGGCCCCACGGACCTTCTCCGCCCCCGCCCCCTCCCGGCCGGGGCGGCCCCGTGGAAACCCAGGCCCTCGTCCCTCGTGTCTCGCCAGGCTTCGTGAGCTTCGACAACCCGGCCAGCGCGCAGACCGCCATCCAGGCCATGAACGGCTTCCAGATCGGCATGAAGAGGCTCAAGGTGCAGCTGAAGCGGCCCAAAGACGCCAATCGCCCGTACTGAGTGCAGGCGGGAGCGTCCCCCGGGGGAGACCAGGACTCGCACAGGTAACCGGGGTCGGCCGGGGCGCGGGGACGGGGGGTTGGGGAGGTTGATACCGGACGGACCCGCCGCCTCCCCTGGCCTCTGTGGGCCGGACGGAGCCTCGCTGTGCCTTGGACCCGCTGCGCCCGGCTCGACCTGCTCCTCGCCCGGTGCCTAGGGGGCAGGCGCAGAGCTGTGGTCACCCCGTCAGAAATGGGTATGACCATCCCCCTGCCGCAGAGCTAAGAGGAGCAGGAGTGAGGGAACCGGTCTGAGAAGGTCTACACCGGCAATTTTGTTTGCCAGAAAACCCTGGGGTGAGCAGATGGCAAGCTCAGGGCTGGGAGAGTTTGGGGGAGGAGTAGGCCCTGTGGGGAGCTGTAGGCCTGTGCTGGGGCCTTCTCCCAGACTCCCTGGCTCTCCCCTTCCCAGCTCTCTTGCCTGAAGGGCTGGTGGCTTTTAGACACTTGACCCCTTCACCCCTTCAATTCCCTGCAGCTCAGTCTGGAGAGGAGGGACAGGACTTTTCAAAGGGAACTTTACCAAAAAACAAAACAGGATGGGACAGAAGGTGAGGAGGGTGATGGTATGGGACTGGGGCCACTTACCCCGCCCTCTTTACAGAGGCCATGATGAGTGGGCAGGTGTCACCTTTCCCTCCTCTGTCTGGGTCCTGCCTTACAGCTGAAGGCACAGTCGGCCACTCCTCTTCCAGGCCACGTGCTCCCCTGGGTGAAGCAGCTTCCTGGGGAAGGGGGGAGGGAGGAGATGTGCCTGGCCATCAAAGTCCACCCCCAGCCTGGTTTCTCCCATTGAGGTACGCTCCACCCGTCCTAGCTGGTTCATAGTCCAGGCGAGGCTGCCCAGTCCTCCGCTGCTTCAGCAGTACCGTGTGCCAGGTACTGTTAGGTACTCAGCATGAGTAAGACTAATGAGAATCCTTGTCATTAGCAGGGGAGGCAGACAACAAACAAGGACAGAGGATCAAAGAGTAAATTATATAGTGTGTCAAAATTGTTGGCTACAGTTAAATCAGGTAGTCAGGGTAGGCCTTGTTGAGGAAGTGACATCTGAGCAAAGGTTTGAAGAAGGGGAGGCAGGGAGCCACGCCAGGGTTTGGCTGTTCGCTCGGTCCTCGCGCCCAAGGAACAGGCAGTGCACAGGCTCCAAGGTGTGGGCAATGCGGTGTGTTCAAGGACCAGCAGGAGGCCAGGGTGACTGGAGGAGAGCGAGCACGGGGTGGGGGGGGGGTGTAGTGGAAAAGGAGATCCAAGAGGTGAGGAGGGCCACCTCGTGTAGGACCTACACGTTGCATGGACTTCGGCCTCTCCTCAGAAATGGGGGGCTCGGGGGTAGCCACTGGAGAGCTCCGCACAGAAGAGTGATGTCATTAACTTGCATTTCAGGAGGCTCGCTGGCTGCCGTGTTGATAGATCGTAGAGTCCAAAGCAGAGGCCTAGCTCTGGGACTGCTCAGTCCAGGGTGACAGCAGTCGACGTGGTGTGAGGGAGTTGGTGCCGTTTGTAAGGAATTAGAGGGGATGTGAGAGAAAGAGGCATCAAGGATGACGCTTAGCTTTTGGCCCGAGTAACTGGAAGAGCAGAGTTGTCGTGGTCTGAGACGGAGAGGGATTGGGAGAAAGGTGAGGCACGTGACAGTTACACATCCGAGTGGAGGGTCAGAGTCTGGAGTTTGGGAGGGAGGTCTCCAGCTTCCCGGTCTCCTCTCAAATCCCACCGCTGCCAGCAGGACCCCCTTCATCCACCCAGGAGCAGCCACACTCACCTTCTCTTGAAGAGGGTGCTTGAGCCTCTACTCGCTGCAGAGCTAGAAGAGCAGCGTCCACCTCTCATGCTTCCTCAGTTCCGGCCCCTGTCCGTCTTTGGTCTGTGTGAAATGCACACGCACATGTTTGTTCAGAGCGTGGGCACTTTCCTGTGCCAGATGCTGGCTCAGTGCCGGGATGCCGAGACGCATGGTCACCGTGCTGCCCGCGTGGAGCTTCCAGCTCTGTGCTCACACCGACACGGTGGCAGCCAGCCAATGGGTACATTCCATAGGAGGGGAGGGACAGTGCAGTGAAAGCAGCCCTTTCGCGACATGGAGCACTTTTCTTAAACAGGCTTAGCTCTGCCACTAAGGCATGACCTGGGTCAAGGTGCTTTCCCTCTTGGGCTTCCATTTCTTCAGTGATGAAACCCAGGCATTGGAGCCATCAGAGGACTTTTAAGGAGGCGGCATGCTCCAGTGTCATGCCCTGAGATTCTGAGGGGCCCCTGTGGGTGTGTTTTGTGGCTCCCCCCAAAACAGCTTGTCTTAGCCTCCTAGACCTTGATGCAACTAAAACCCCAAGAAAGGAGGGAACATCTAGGTCAGAGAAATTCCCGGATGAAGGGGTGAGGACGGCAGACTTGTGGTTTGGGGCAGAAGGTAAGAAGTGGCCCTCAGGGTAGAACCAGTTAGCAGTCATGATTGGGGTGGGGGCTTGAGAGGAGTGGCCAAAAGAGCAGAGTGGTTCTTCCACCAGGGAATACAAAGGCCAGAAAGATGAGAACCACAGACTTTCACACTGCGCTTACCATGCAAGAGACAGTTCTTGTAGGTGACCACTCTAAGACATAACTGTATACTTGTAGCTGCCTATGAGGTAGGTAGTGTTATTATTCCCATTTTATAGATGGAGCACAGACAGATTAAGTCACTTGCTAATCAGCTCCTGAGCTGTAGAGTCATGATACGAAGGGGGAGTGGTTACTTCCAGAGGCTGAGCTCTTAACCCCTTCAAGTAAGGAGATGGATAAACCCCCCTCTGCTATCTTCACCTCACCCCTCCTACCCCAGAGTGTCCTGAATATCAGAGGGGACACATCAGGACCTCTCACTTCTCTGGGGTCAGCCATCTGACTAGCCCCCCACTAGGCAGTCTTCTAAAAAACTGTGAGCTCGCGTAGCTCCTACAGTAAAGTTGACCTTTCAGCTCCATTCACAGGATTTTAACAAATGGTGCATTCAGGTTCCCAACCCAAGACTGTTAGAGGGTGTAACAGAAGGCAGGTGTCATAGGGCCAGGCTCGGGGAGTGCCGTGGGCACTGGCTGCTGCCAGTAAGAGCGGGAGGAAACAGCACGCAAAAGCAGCTTAAAAACTGCATGATTTTACAGGCCAGCAAAGGATGTTTACAGATGATGGGTCCTAGTTGCTCGGAAGGGCGGGGCTCGCCTAAGCAGGGGCTCAGGGGCCATAGTTAGGTGTGACTAGGCACCGGGAGGGTGGTCTCATGGCCGGTGGTGAAGACATAAGGCAAATAGGTGGCCAGGTCAGAACTGGAGTGAGGGGGTTCTGGGGAAGGAGAGGGCCCCTGGCAGGGCAGCCGTGGGGAGGGGGGAGCGTGGTTGGGCTTTGGTTCCGTAAAATGAGGCCTGGGTAGGGTGGGGTCTGCGCACCCTGATGGATGGGAGCGTGGGTTCCTAGCTTCATTGCTGCCCCTGCCCCTCATCTTGCGCTAAGATGGGAGTTTCTCCCAGAAATCTTTACGGGGAAACTAAGAGGAAGGAAACAAAGGCAGGGAAAGTGGGCAGAAACACGAACGTGGCCAGGTCCAGGCAGACACCCAAGTCCCTTGTTCCACCTCTGGGCCCAGGCTGAGGGCGGGCGCGCGGGCATCCGGCTCTTTGGAGGGAGAACCGTCTGAGTGGCGTGTCTGACTCCCTGGGAGCCCCGTTTCTTCTGGCCCCGGGCTTTGGTTCTGAGTGTGCTTTTGCACAGCGTCTGCTCTGAGCTTTGCAGGCACGGGTGCTTCGGGTCAGACCTGCCCAGTGCTGGGCTGTGGCTTTGGGCCTGGGCCTTCTCTGGCTAGAGGCCAGCTGTGTTTAGGACCTGGCATCTGAATTGGCTCAGCTCGACCAGGTCATGAGGTGGGGCTTCCCGGTCCTGATTCAAGCTCCCCTACGCCGGTCAGTGACTCTGCTGTCACCTCTAGGGCTGTGCTCGGAGAGGCTCTTCCAGAGGGTGGCCAGGCAGGGGTCACTGTGCAGGCAGAGGTGCCACTGCTCCTTAATGAAGAAAGTGGTCAGCAGTGCGTGGGAAGAACCCCAGGGAGCCTCCTTAGCGGCTGAACGAGTTTGAGTGTTTGTGTGCTGGGGACCAAGTGTGTGTGAGAGGTGAGTGGGTACGAGAAGTTTCCCTAGATGGAGATTTGGGGCGGAGCTGTGTGAAATTCAGGCTCGAATCCCCAGCACTGGGCAGTGCCAGGCACTGAAGGGTGGCTGGAGGAAAGCTGGCAGCCGGCAAAGGAGCACAGTGGAGTGGGGAGGAGTGGGCGTCCCAGGACTGGGTGCAGGTGTCCCTGGGTTGCCATGGCTGACACCTGAGGGCGCTGCCCTCCGCGCCGTGAGGCTTTCAGGATCTTAGTTCCCCCACCAGGGATTGAACCCGGGCCCTCGGCAGTGAGGGCACAGTCCTAACCACCGGACCGCTGGGGAATTCCCCCTCCTCAGTTCTTAGGCCTCTTCTCCCACCGCAGGGGCCCGCCAGTTGGCTCTCCTGGGTGGTGGGTCTAAGGGCTTGCTCTCCGGAGGGGCTGGAGATGCAGACGGGCCTTGCTGGGCCCTGGTCTTGGTGAGGGAGATCTGCTGTGGGAGGAGCAGGACGGGCAGGCAGGGCAGCAGGGCTCTGCGGAGGAAGAGGGGCGGGGGCTCTTCTGAGAACGCAGAGCTGGAGGCCGGGCTCAGGCTTAAAATAGTCGCCTCTCAGCTGTTTTGCATCTTATCCACAGTGACATGTCATGACCTCAGGCTTCCCTTCCACACTCCCTGTAGGAAAACACAAAGCTGAGAGTGGAAGCCGCTGCGTGTAGAAGCCCGGTGCGTCGGAAACCCCTGCAGACTCTGCAAGCCTGGTGCACAGACCCGGGGGCTGCAGGGGAGCAGGGACTGGGAAGTGAGCTCAGGGGTAACCGTGAGGAGGGCGTAGGGCTGGGGGCCCCCAGTGCCCTGGGTGGGGGCAAAGGACCCCCAATGGTGAAGCGTGCTCAAGACAACTCAAAACGGAATAACTGGATGATGCTTGACAGAGAAGGGAGCTCAGCCTCCACCAGTTAGGGCTCCACTAGTGAAGAAGGCAGGTCGGGGCTTGTGAGATGGGTCAGTCTAGAAAGCTGTACGTGGAGGGGTATAGGGTGTGAAGGAATGGAGAAGGGGGAGGTGGAGTGGGGGAGGGCAGCAGAGCACAAGTGACAGCAGCAGAGAGACTGGGGAAACAGGGCCATAGCCCACCCCTCTCCAGTGGAGTCTCCTGTTTCGTGTGACCAGCACTGCAGGGCACCCTAGTCTTCCACGTGACCGTTTCCTGGGTCAGAGCTGCAGAGCCGTCTAAAGGCTTCACGTGCCAGGAAGCAGCCTTGCTTTGGCCCCGTGGGCCACCTTGAGAGCAAAACAGAGAGAGTAAGGCGATCGTGAAATAAAAGCAGTTGTGCCAGGACGTGTCTGTAGAATTCTGAGAACGTTGATGTGATTTACTCTAAATCTCAGAACTACAAGTGTTCATTTTCTGAAGGTTCTGAGGAAAGAGGGTTGAGGCAGAGTGGACGGGGAGAGGCTCACGACCTCATGCAGCGGGTGCTCTTTTAGTGGGGACGCCCTTCTCTGGGGATGGCGGCCACGGTGGGACGGGACAGGGCGGGAGGGCTGAGTTGCTGTCTGCGTGCACTGTACTGGGCAGCAGGGTGTTTTGTGGATGGACCCCACGGATACAGCAGTCGCCTTAATCAGCCTCTGACCCACCCGGCAAATCGGGGCCACCCTGTCAGGCTCCCCCTGCTGGTCCACAGGCTGAAGCCATGGAAGGCTGGGGAGGCGAGGAGAGCTCGGCACCTGGGGGAGAGGGAAAGAATCAAGGGTGGTCAGAGGCAGAGAGCGTGCTCCCTGATCTGCTTGCCGGCCAAGGTGGTTTGAGGGGCTGTTTTAGTTTTTTCTGGCCCCCTCACCAAGCTGCCTACACCCTCCCTCCTCTTCCCAGCGCATGATGGATGCCCGTAGTGGCCCTGTGTGAGGTTCTGCTACTGTTCACGGTGTATCATGTGTCTGCACAAACAACCGTGTGTGCGTGTGCGTGTGCGTGAGTGTGTGTGTGTGTTGACGTGCCCATGTTGTTTGTCTGCCGGCTTCCTCCATCCTTTGAGTTTTTTTCAGTTCTCTTATGATTTGACTGCTGTTCTCTCATTAGAGCTTTTAGATTGATGCTGTGGTCTGGTGCTGTATAAATATTTTTCCTTTTAATTTTGTTTTAACTTCTTCCTTGCCCTTCTTCACCCTCAACCCGACTCTCCCTGTCCCACCCCCCACACTCCCCGACCCAACCCGCCCCCCCTCCTCCTCCCCCCTTGCCCACACTCTCTTGTCCTCTCTCTCTTTCTCTCTCTCTCTACATATATAAATATATATATAAATCTTTTCTTCTTTTGTCATTCAATCAAATTCCAACAACCCAACCAGGGCCAGTCAAATCCACCACAGTCTCGCGCTGAGCTAGGAATAAAGTTCACGTAATCACATGAGAGTGGAGAAAACAGTCCCCCATCCGTAAGTTCAAATCAACTCAAAGTTCACAGTGTGACATGATGGCGTCATGTAACAAGGCTAAGAATCGGTTGCATGACAATTGCCGTCAAGTTTCGTGGAGGTGCTGTGATTGGAGCGTTTTTCTTGGATGTTGTATCAGTTGATGATTGGCCAGTCATGATCACACGTGCATTTTCTTGACTTCTGTGCTGCCACAATCTTTTTTGCTGTGCTCATTTTCGTTTCGTTCTTGGTGCTTGCAGTGGTTTTACTTTCTGTTGTTTGGTTTTTCTTGTTCAGCGTTTTTTATGCTTCTCTAGATGTCACATAGAGAAAAAAAACCAAAAGAATAAAAAAATAGTAAAAATAAAGATGAATTCCCGAATTATCGGACATGGGATCATTAACTGTGCAAACCATTATTTTTTTTTTCTTAAAAATGAGGAAAACATCTTAAAAGTATCTATGCGTGGTTGATTTACTTGCACTTGAAAATATTGTGATTTTATTTTTTTCTAGAAATTTGGGGGCCTTTTTCAATTGACACTTTTCCTAGGTCTGGTCTTTTTCCAGTTAGGCTATTTTAAATCTCACTTCAAAAGGAAAAACAAAAAGAAAAAAACAAAAACAAAATCTCTACAGTAACAGAATGATAAAAAAAAAAAAAAAAAAATTCTAAACCAAAAACCTAGAGTTCAAAGCCCGGGGCCTCTGAGAGAGAGCCCGGTAGCAATTGTAAGGTTTGTATTGTAGCCACTTCTGCTAAATTAAATGTGGGGAGGGAGGTGGGGGCCTGGGAGTTGGGAGGGCTTTTTGGTCGGTTTGGAAGAAACAGTACTAACAAAAGCAAAATGCACCTTTTTGTTTACAACTGAAAAAGGGTCCTTGACAAGTGTTTTTTAATTTTATTATTATTTTATTTGGTGTTGTAATTGTTTAGATTGCTGTGTACGGTTTGCTGTTTGTTGAATCAACAGTGTGAAAAACCTGCCAGCATGGATTGATATACGCATGACGTTGTCCCCTCAACTGGGGGCTTTGCAGTTCTAACTCTCTTGATGTAACCAGTCACCCCCATGTATAAGTGGAAGCTGCTTGCTAGAATGGAGACGAGTCTCATTTGTTAATTCACAATGATTAAGCATTTTCCTTCTGATTCTAGTCGGATCATGATTTTTTTTCTTTGAAATGCAAAACAAAACACCAAAAAGCCACCATTCAAAACAAAATCAAGAATTGTCTGAGTTAATTTAACTTTGATGATTAAATCCGTTCTAACTTCTTTTAGGTCCTCCCCATCCACTTCCTCGAAGTGCTGAATTTCCTCTAAATTCCCTGGCATGTATGAGAAAAATATTATGTGTGTGTGTGTGTGTGTATGTGTGTATCTATGCATATACATACACACATATCCATGTATATCCACATATGTGCAGGTGAATATATTCTACACATATATCCAGATATACATATATATACATAGCCTCGCAAATAGTGACCTTGGGAAAGAGGTGGTTGGCTTGGAAACTGGGCAAGAATTCTGCAAAATTCATGTCATGGATCTTGGGGGGGAGTGGGCTGGGCTGCTAGATTTTTGCTATCTTGTTTGCTAGGCTTCTGTATACATATTGTATCTGGGCTAGATCCCTTAGAGATCAGTTTAATGATGAATTCATATCCCGCAGTCCCAAATTCTTCCCTTAGATCTAGCCGTCCCCCAATCCAGAACTCTAAAGGAACCCAAATCAAAAACCCTCTCCCAACAACCAAACCTCAGCTACAACCATCACCACTAGACCTCCCAGTGGTTTCTTACTCTGACTAGAAGAGTCGATTTCTTTTTTATGTATCATGATCATGACTAATTCTCATACTGGTCTCTTCCCCCTCTCCCGCTATCCCCCAGAGCTCCCGCCCTAACCCCCGAGGCAGGTTCCTTTTGGTGTTTGGATGCGTTTTGTGTTTCCTCTCTTGGCTTAATCAGCCCTGATTTTCTTCATTTTAGGGCAGGATGCTGAACGGGCTACATTAAAAAACAAACCTCTCTCTATATATATTTATAAATGAGAACTGTTGGATGACACCTTTGACATATCAGCCAATATCAATCAAGCTGAAGACTCCAGACACTCTGTGTGACTGTCACATTTCTTCAAGGAAAGTATAGCGTCTATGGAGTTCAGAGGGCACGTGTTTGGGGGAAAAATATATATGACGTAAAGAAGAAGAAGATGAAGAAAAACGAGGAAAAAAAAAGGCAACTTTAAAACAAAATAACTTGAGACAAGGTGGGGAGGCTGCAGGGCTGGGAACCGGGAAGGGCCGCTGCTTCCCGATCCCTGGGGCTTTTCCAGCCCATGGGCGCCTGAGGCAGGCTGGGGCAAGCGGTGTGTCTGGTGGGGCCTGGTCCCCAGGGGGGCGGCTGGGAGGCCGCCGCTGATCATCTTTATCTGTCATTCCTTTAGCTATTTAGGGACCAAAGGACCAAACTTTTTATTGCAGATGTGTAGCTCTAGGTCAAATAGAGGGGGAACGGAGGAGAACCTCCTTCCTGCCTCATGGCTGTTCTTGAAACAGCTTAGAGCGATTCTATGAAAAAATGTAATTAAAAAAAAAAAAAACACAAAAAAACAAAAAAAAAGAAAAATAATGCTTCAATGCTTTTAAAACAGCAAGATAATAGTTCTTTGATACTTTGAGAGGCGCTTTGATTACTGTCATTCAAGTCTATGACACTTTCCTATGGTTTTCTGTATTATATGTCTGGATGGAGCTGTTAAGACGAACAAATTGGTGGATATTCGGGGAAAGTAACAAAATATGAAAACTCGTTAACCGTGAAGTGTGAGAAAAGGAGGGGAAAACAAGGGACTGACGAGGCAAGATAATTGTTGTGAAAAGTCTGTAAATGCTTCTAACTCTTCCCCCTCTTAAAATCATAATAGTTGTACAGAATTTTAAAAAGGAGAAGTTTAAAATACCTATATAATAGAAGAAAAATTAGAGGAAAGCAAAAAAAAAAAAAAAACCTATAGAAGTTAGCGTTACTGCTAAAATCCCAGATGTTGTAGGACTGTACTTTTGTAGAGTTTAGACTGAGCATCAATCCCTTCTCCCCGCGAGTGCTGTTGGATGCCATTGACCCCGAGGGCCAGGCCGGACCCGCCCAGACCTGTGGGCCCCTGGCTGCCCACCTCCGGTGGAGGCCGCGCCTCTGGCAGGAAGGCCCGCCGCCGCCTCCGCCCTCGCCTCGCTTCGCTCCGGGAGCTGCGCGCGCTCGCCCGCTCTCCGCAAGCCCTCGACACCTCTGCTTCACTCGCCTTCCATGCTTGCTCCAGAGACTTTCCGGGCAAGGGAGACCTGGGAACTTTCATCTTAAAACAACTAAACAACACACACACACACAAAAACCTTAAACAAGAGAGAGAAAAAAAAAAAAAAAAACAATCTTTGAAGAATTTCTGAAACTGTTTACAAGGAATTTTGAAAAACAGGGATGTTTAAATGATGCCGGCTCTGTTTTTCTGTAAATAAATTTGCATATTTTGTAGGACTTTTAATTGTAATGATAGAGAAAAAAAAACAAGGAAAACTATTTAATGAAAGCACGATATTTATCTTTGGTAAATGACTTTAGAGCAGTTAAAAAAGACATTGCTTAAAAAAACTCAGAATCAGAAAAAAACACTGAATTATTTAAGAACACATATATTTTAAAGTATAACATATTTATTATAATTTATTTGCACCGTTGGGAGGACTCGCTTTGGCTTTCCGCCTTGACGCCCTCCTCACTGATGTCCTGTTCATCTGGAGGCTGGGGGGCCCTCGGACCTACCATGTTTTTTTCTTTTTTGCTTTAGAAGAACATCTATCTGGTTCCTCTCAGGCCTTCTGCCTTTCCTTTCTTTCTATTTTGTTGGTTAATTATTATTTTTAAAATTTTCTTTTTCTTGGCTCCTTTTAGGATGTCCAGATGTTGTAAAAAAAAAAAAAATGAAAAAAACAAAACAGCTGCAGTTCAGTACAACTGCTCTTTTCACACTCAACTCCCTAAAACTCCTTGTAACCTTCTGTAACTATTGGATGACGCTTTCTCCAGCTTAGCCCTAAATAAAGCACAGTTTAAAAAAAAAAAAAAGCCTTGTCCGTGGTGCTCTGTGGTTCATGGAATCTGGCCAGCCGTGCCTCTGGGGCCTAGGGCTGGCCCACTGGAAGCAGCTTTGGTCCTTCCCTCCGTGGAAGCTGTCTGCTTCCTGGACCCTCTAGGAAAATCTCTCGACCGGTGTGTGCCTCTGAAAGTCTCCACTGCAAGCCCATCCCTAGGTTCCTGGGCAGGGATGGCCACAGTGCCCAAACCTAACAAGAAGTCCCCCTTTCCTCTCTGCTAGGGGGAAAAGCAAGCCACCAGACTGGAGCTGGGGTGGGGACGAAGTGCTGCGAGGAGCTGGGGAAGCAGGCAGTGGAGGCAGGGCCCGCAGTAAAGGAAGGTGAGGACACAGCCCCAGACTTGCCAGCCAGCACTTTTGGTCCTGCACTTCCCACTGCATTGACAGTGTGCCTGGGTGGACAAGACCGTGGGTTCTAGATGATCCTCAGAGGCGGAGTTCTGGTGGGAGGAGCTTGGGGTGCCGCCTTCTCTGTATCGTGACACAGAGACAGAGGGAGATGTCCAAACCCTGAATGCCACAGGAGGTTTGAGAGGAAGGTACTGGGGGGGGGGGGGGGGGGGGGGGGGTTCCAAAGGAGGAGGAATGTGAAATAGGGCTTGGAGGAGGGGAGGTGGAGAGGAGGGAACAGGTCCTCCTGAGGTGAGAACCCAGACATGCACGCCAGCCTCAAGCCTTCATCAGACTCTGTCCTACGACAGCCCCTGCCCCAGCCTCGCAGCTTGGTCTAGGAATGGGCAGTTTCCACCAAGGGCTTTCACCTTGGAAAACCCTTGTGGTGGGGTGGGGAGAAGACGAGAGTCCTAGGACACCCGGGTGTTTGTCTGTCTGTCTGTGTCCTCCCGTGAGAAAGTGGGGAATGGCTCAGCCCCACCTGTCCTCTCTGCAGGAAGACTGGTGGAGAGCAGCACGCAGAGCCCCAGCTACAGAGCAGCACCCGGACCCTGCTTCTATCCTCTCCTCCCATCTCGCTTCCCAGGGCCAAGGCCCAATCCCATGTTTCCCACACTAGCCTGTGGAATTGTTAGCCTGGGGAGAAAGGACCTTTATGCATCAGGACCCAGGGCAAGCCTTCAAGTCTTGGCTTCAGACTTGGAGACAGTACCAAGATGAGACCTTCCCTCATAAGTATGTGAAAATAACCCACACTTAACCTGCCAGTTCTGGGGAGCTTGTGAGGGGCTGGACTTCTTGGAGGAATTCACTGCAAGGGGTGGGTGTCACACTGGGGGTTATGCTGCACTGTGAGGAACAGAAAGGTGTTTTCTAAGGAGTTCTCTGGGTTTCGAGCCTCAGACTATTCAAAACCGTGGTTTCTGTTGGACATTTGCCGCCTAAAGGCACTGAGTCTGCCAGAGGATGACAGCCTCAACCATACTGCGTCCTGTCGCTCTCTCAGGCCCCAGGGAGCCTCACGGGCCTCCCCAGACCTCCCCTGTGCCTTTGTCACCACTTCCCCACTGTGCTTCTCTCTGGCACAGCCCTCCTGCCACCTCCACCGCTCGGGCTCAGGGGCAGTAGGGGCCCAGGGAGCTGCCCCCAAGGAGCTGGGCTGTGCAGGGGGGTGGCCTCTTTTGCTCTGTTCCAGGCACGGTTGACTGAGAGATGAAAACACAAGGCCCAGATGTGAATCCGCCAGTTCTATAAAAGAAACCTTCTATTTAAAACAACGCACCAAGTGACTAATATATGCACAGCGCACCAAGTGACTAATATATGCACAGCGCGTTTAAGAGAGAATGTAATTTATTAGCCTCTGGGGGGAAGCCATAGGTTCCTTGAAAAGTTGCTGAAGACTCTCAGGTCACTTTGCACACGATTACAGGGAGTGCAGGGATCCCGCAGCTCGTCCGTCATCCCCTGGTTAAGAACCCCTGGTTTGCAGTGTTATTTAAGAAAACTCAAGACACGATTCTCATTAATTTCTGCTTATATTCTATGACTTCTGTTTCTCTGCTAGTACAGCCATCCCTTGGAATCTGCAGGGGATTCGTTCCAGGACCCCTGCGGATACCGAAATCTGTAGATGCTCAAAACGGCGCAGTGCAGTCGGGCCTCCGTAACCGTGGGTTCTTCATCCATGGATATGGAGGGCCGGATATGTTCTACCTAAAGTGTTTGATTCCGTCATAGCTCCCCTATTTTTAGTTATTTCTTTTTAATTTTTTAAAATTAAAAAAAATTTTTTTTTTTTTTAATCTTTTGGCCATGCCACGTGGCATGTGGGATCTTCGTTCCCTGAGCAGGGATCAAACCCATTCCCCCTGCATTGGAAACGTGGAGTCTTAACCACTGGACCACCAGGGAAGTCCCTCCCCTATTTTTAAAAGACTTTTTATTTATTATTATAAACCTTTTATTTCAAGCATAATGGAAAGTAGAGATACTTGCAAAACAAACCCCTGTGCACACACCACTTAACTTTAACGTACATCAACTCGTGAATTATTTTGAAGTTACCATTTCATTGGTAGATGCCTCAGTTTCCCCGCAACAGTTTCGATGCTGCATTGACGTGTTCAGCCTGGCTCTGGGCTGTCGGGCAGCTGCACCCTTGCTGTGGCAATTGCGGGGCTTTGTGGCCTCTCCCAACCTCATCCATGGGTGGGCACTGGCGCCTGGTGTGAGGCCAGGCCTCCCTCCAGCCTCTGTTCCGGCAGCACTTTCAAAGGACTTTCAGCTCTTCATCTACCCCTTTGTACTCATATCTTCTCTCTTGCTTTTCTCTTTCTTTCTCTCCTTTTCCCCCTCCTTTCTGTTTGATGTTAATGTGAGAAAAGTGTTTCTGAGCTAGATCCCACTCTCTCCTGAACACAGAGCGCCAGTACAGTGACGCAGAATGTCCCAGAGCTCTCCCACCCACACGAGTGCCTCCAAGTCCAATATCCACCTTCCAAGTTCTAACGCCCCTGGGCTGGGCAAATACGCGTCTCCTCCTGGCACGGGGTCTGCAGGGTCAGTGTTTGAATTACATCTGGTTAAAGCCAAATGGACATTCCTCCCCCGGGTAAGGTGGGTAAGCAACACCTGGGCAGTGAGTTCAGAGGCCCAGCCCCACCCGGGGTGACAGCATCAGACGTGGTTGTGAGTGCCATTTGTCTCTCTCCCAAAATGGAATCCGCCCCCAAACAATTATTAGGCACCACTGACATCCCACCTTCAACAGACTGTTCACTCCAGGCAGTCAGGTATTCAGTCCATGTTGATTCATTGCCTGCAGGAATGAATGAGTTAAGGAAGGAAGGAAATAAACTGCAGACAACTGAAAGCATGTTCCGAAGAGGTAGGTGTTCAGGAAATGCTTTTAAAGTAATAGCACATTTGGAATAAGTGGATAGCCAACACTCCCTTCCCCTCAGATAACTATTTGCAAGTATAAGTTTTTTACTTTCTGGTTTCCTTTCTCTGCTGCAGAGCTCCCCTTCCCCCATCAGTCTCTGGTCTTCAACTCTCCCAGATGCCCCAGGGCCTGCTTAGTGGACAGCCATCACCCCAGGCCCCTCCTTATCACCCCAACTTCTCTTCCCTCATGCTAGCCTAGCTCCTCATCTCTTCAGGGGCCTCTGCATGTCTCCATCCCTACTTGCACCCTCTGTGGACATCTAACCAGGATTTGCCCAGACCAGGAGGAGGGTTGGAGACTGTGTATCAGAGTGAAAAAGGCATGGGCTTTGACGTCAGGGATGCATATACCTTCTGTGTCACTTTGCAAAATGACCTAACCTCCCTGAGCCTCAATTTTCCTATCTCTAAAAGGGGGATAATAATACACCCCGCCCCCAAGAGTTGTGAGCAGTAAACAGAGACAGACACAGCCAGACCACATCCCAAGGGTCCTCTGAGTTGTAAACTCCTTAATAATGCAGATACTCAGAATGAGAAGGTCAGGCTCTGATCCCTTCTTCCTTCCCTTTCCTTAGTTCCATTCCCCTGACAATTCCCGTCCCAACAGAAACGAGCTTGAACTTGACACCAGACCACTTTCGGTCGTTTTCTCTTGAGTTCAGTCAGCCCGTGACACTCCCAGAGAATGCCTGTCATGCTGGGGTGCACACACCTCTGTCTCTCGCAGCTCACACTCCTTCCCAAGTACCCACACACCTCTGTCTCTCGCAGCTCACACTCCTTCCCAGGTACCCCGATTCGCGGATGCTCCTCTGCCCTTTCCCTTTCCTTTCCCCACACCACTGTGGCTGTCGTTGTCTGCAGCCATCCTGTCCCGGTTCATATGCCCTCAGGCTGCAAGTTAGTTTGGTCTTTGCATTTAAAAAGAAGTGCTATCTATTGTGGGGGGGGCTTCCCTGGTGGCGCAGTGGTTAAGAAGCCGCCTACCAATGCAGGGGACACGGCTTCCATCCCTGGTCCGGGAAGATCCCACATGCTGCGGAGCAACTAAGCCCGTGCGCCACAACTACCGAGCCTGCGCTCTGCAACAAGAGAAGCCACCGCAATGAGAAGCCTGCGCACCGCAAAGAACAGTAGCCCCTGCTCGCCGCAACTAGAGAAAGCCCGCGCGCAGCAACGAAGACCCAACGCAGCGAAAAATAAATAATTTTTTTAAAAAGTGTTATCTATTTTTTGGAATAGGTAACATATTGATATATTTTAAAATTCAAAAAAATATGAAAAAGCATATAATGAAAAGTCTTCTTCCCACCCCTGAATCCAGCCACCCATTCCTGTCTCCAGAGGCAGCCAGTGTTACCAGCTGCTCTTGTTTATCCTGGTCTTTAGTGTGTAGATGTGTGTGCCTTGGTGTAAGGAACTCAGCTATCACCCTCACTTTCGGGGGGCAGACCCAGAGCCAGGCAGTGCCATGCCCAGGCCTGAAGCTGGCCTGTGGGATTCCCAGGAGATGAGCCCAGGCTGCTGAGGACCCCCTGGCTGAGTAGAGGAACTGGGGACTGTCCAGTCCACACTAATCAACTGGGTGCTTCCCTCTGAGGCCCGGTGGAGCTGTCATTGCCGGGGTGCTTGCCCTGAGCTAGACACTAAGAGCTGCTTAATTATAATCTCATCTAATTCTCTGAGGTTGGTGTTATCATCCCTATTT